AGTGTGGGAGGTGGCGTGCTTCCAAGTATTGGTCTATTTCCTTCAGATTGTCATATTTCTGGGAATAAAGTTTCTTGTAATATTCATTAAGGATTTTTTTTTAATTTCTAAGGGATCTGTTGTTATTTCATCTTTACCATTTCTGATTGATGAGATTAGTGATTTTACTCTTTTTTTCTTGGTTAAGTTGGCCAAAGATTTATCTATCTTATTGACCTTTTCAAAAAACCAACTTTTTGATTTATTGATCTGCTCTATAATCCTTTTATTTTCAATTTCACTTAATTCTACTGTAATTTTGGTTATTTCTTTTCATCTGCTAGATTTGGGATTGGAATGTTCTTCCTTTTCCAATTGCTTGAGATATCCCATGAAGTTGTTAACATCCTCTCTTTCCATCCTCTTGAGGAAGGCTTGCAATGCTATAAATTTCCCTCTTAGGACAGCCTTTGCGATATCCCAGAGGTTCTGATAACTCATGTCTTTGTTATTGTTTTGTAATAAAAATTTGGCAATTTCCTTCTTGATCTCATCTCTGACCCATCTATCATTCAGTATAAGGTTATTTAGCTTCCATGTTTTTGTATGAGACTGCACATTCCTGTTGTTACTGATTTCAACTTTTATTCCATGATGGTCCGAGAAGATGCATGGAATGATTTCTATTCTTTTAAATTTATTAAGGTTAGACTTATGACCTAAGATGTGATCAATTTTGGAATATGTTCCATGTACTGATGAGAAAAATGTGTATTCAGTTTTGTTAGGGTGAAAAATTCTGTAGAAGTCTGTTAGGTCCAAAAGTTGAATAGTTAAATTTAAATCTAAAATTTCTTTGCTAAGCTTCTTATTGGAGGATCTGTCCAATACTGCCAAAGGAGTGTTAAAATCTCTGACTATGATGGAGCTGGGAGAGATCAAGTTGCTCATGCCTGTTAGAGTATCTCGTATAAATTGAGGTGCATTCTGGTTGGGTGCATATATATTGATAATTGAGATCTCATCATACTGAGCATTGCCCTTAACAAATATAAAGTGGCCATTCTTGTCTTTGCTTACTTTTGTTGGTTTAAAGCCTATTGTATCTGCGAATAAAATTGCAACCCCTGCTTTCTTCTGCTTTCCATTAGCCTGGAATATAGATGACATCCCTTCACCCTGAGTCTATATTTACCTTTTAAAGTAATGTGCAATTTTTGAATGTAGCAGATGTCCGGTCTGAGTTTCTGTATCCAGTCGGCCAATCTGTGCCTCTGTAGAGGACAATTTAAGTCATTCACATTGATTGAAATTATTGATAAGCCTGGTAACTTTTGGGCATCGAGTTGCTCGAAAGTCCAGTAGACATTTTTAATCCTTTTGCCACTTTGGAAGTTGTAATTTGATCAAAAGTTTCTGAGTGAGTTTACTTTTGTTGTGGAGGATTACACTGGTTATTATAGAGAATAGGTCTGAGAATATCCTGGAGAGCTAGTTTAGTTATGGCAAATTTCTTCAATATGTGAATGTTGTGAAAGTATTTAATTTCTCCATCATAGATGAAACTCAGTTTAGCTCGATACAGGATCCTGGGTTGAAAGTTATTTTGTTTTAGGAGATTAAAAGTCAATGGCCATCCTCTTCTAGCCTGAAAGGTTTAAGCCAAGAGATCTGCAGTCATCCTAA